CCACAGAGTAGTGCTTACAGATGATGGAAAATGGGAAGAAGAGGAAGAGATCGACCGCCAAGCTGGAATCGTCAGAGGTGTTCTGCGGTGAACTACTCCGAATCGTCAGGACAAAGCTGTGTATGTTCAGGTCGATCTTCATCATCATGCTCATCTATAGTGATGAATCGTCGGGGGCCATGGCTGAAAAATTTCGATCTGTAGTATTAGCGGCTGAAATTAGCTATTTGATGCGAATCATCTGGCTCATGGATGTAGTTCGCAGTACAGGTATCTAGGACAGACTTGGTGTACAGCCATTGCTTCTCACAGCTGCGATGGTTTCGGCACGTATTGAGAAAGCTTTCTGAAAGAATGGTCAGAGTTACTTGTCCAACAGACCAGAAGAGCCCAGGGAACGGAAAAGAATAACCTGGGACAAGGCATGGAAGGACTCTGCTCCACACTCAGGTTAGCTGCTGCCGAAGCTCACGCGCTAGCGCAGGATTGCGAACATTCGAGACAGTGTCCGACGCGGTCATCGAAACTGGCTGATTGACTCACTGGCCAAATAGAAACGAGCTGGTTGACTATGGCTGATAGCTACCGTCTGCAGCCACTGTTTTCAATGATGCTGATTCGATTACCTCAAAAAAGAGTAAAAAACATTTTGTGTGAAGAAGGTGCGATAGAGGCCGAAATTTGGTTATCGCGTGATAATTTAATTGTAATTCGCTGCATTTAATGAACTTCGCATTTCGCGTTTATGATCCTTCTATATCGGCTTAATTGCTAAATGCCTTCAGGCGATCTTAGATTACAGAGGGATGAAGCCATACCGCCATTTCACAGCCTTGTGACTGAAGGCTTAGCTCTGTGAAAGACAAGGGTAAATTCCTCAGAAACTGTTTCTGTAAAGGCAGCAAACCGAAAACTAATCTGCCTTCATCTTTTTCCAGACAGCGTTGTTCTAGGATTTCAACATTTGAACGGTTTTACAAACGAACAGAACTACACTTACTTCAGTTAAAACCAGGAAATGTTACTTTAGAAAGTTTACTTAGTGGATTTATTTTGCAAACTACAAAAATTAAAACGACAGCTAGTTCAACGACTAGAGGCTAGTTCAAAAATGCTTAAAGTGTTTGTGGAAGCGAAGAGTGGGACAACGAACCCATCGCCTCCGTGAAAGCGACTATAGTTTAATATCTTAGAAACGACTACTTTTTAAGGCTGTCCTCTAGCACCCACAGAACTGTTGTCTACGAAAAAAGGAGTTTCTAATTTGGGCATATTCGTACATAATCTAATATACAGTTGCAATACTCTTCAAATTTACCAAGACTAACCTCGAATCATCGTACAGCAAAAATAGTACTCCGTAACCAATTAGATTAGTAACCGCTGTTTCGTGTGTGGTTGTCCAGTCAACCAACGGATCATAAACAAACGTTTCCAATAAAGTTAGCAATGCTTCCTGACCTTTCCTGAGAATTTCCATAACCTTTTCGCAGGATAAACGGAACTCGCCCTAGAATAAATTGCTAGACTTTCAAAAAAAATACCTCACAGCACAGAAAATACGCATGCGTTGGCATTGATTGCACTAAAAGAATTCACTTGTATTATAGCATTTGTATGTCCTTCAAAAATAAAACTTTTGTCTATATCATGAAAAGCAAAAAAATGAAAATGAAAGAAAATACCCTTCGTAATGTCGCCTCCCATACGCCTGCATAACTTGTAACACATTTTAACTCCACGTTATGGGGCAGGCTGATCTTCATAAATATGCCATCAGGAATCACAATCAGTCTTCGTATGTAAAGCTTAAAATTGTTGTACACTACAAGTGGTCTCTTTCTTACAGTGTATTCATTTATTTACCTCCAACAGGTTGAGAAAGGTCGGAAAATCTGGAAGAGAATTTATATATTATTTTTTCTCTGTGAATTTTCGATTTGAAGAACTGAACTTAGCACGCTTTTCCAGCTTGGATAGATCTGCACCGGCGATCCATTCTACTTTTCCTGGCAAGGACTCAGAGATAGCCAGAACTGAAGAGCAATTACACGTACATAATATTCTGACTGGTCAATAACCTTGTGTATATATATTTTATGGACCTGTTTAATGATAAAGGATGCGATTATGCTGAACGCAGCAATCGTTGCACAAATAAACTTGACATTTCACGTTGTCGCGAAGCAGACTGTCTACGTTTTATTAAAGCGGGCGCAACCTATGTCGCACAAGTCATTCATCGTTCAGCATTACTAAGTACTAAAGTAAGTAAAAACATATGGATCAAATAATAAGATTATTAGGCAATAAGTATAATATATATAGTCACCAACCTCAATGCCTGTGACTCCGAGTGCACTTTCGATGTTTTGTGTCATTCGAAAAGGAACGGTCTCTGGAACACGAAGGTGTTTTCCCTTTTCGAAGCATACGTTATAGTCGATATGAACCACCTGTGATAAATTATATAAGGTTCGGATAATTTAGTAAAATTAAAGCAGCTGCCGCTGTCAAATACTTCGCCGGTTCGCAAATCAACGAGAACGTTGTCCAGATGACGGTCACCAAGGCCAATCAGATAACCGATTACAGAAATAACGGCCGTAGACTTCGAGAATCGCTGGGTGGCTGACCACCATTCATCGCAGTTGAGGCTCGTGCACCACAATTCCCTGAAAAGCACGACGTATTGGCAAATGCAAACGACAAGTCTGTAAAAGCGCACATGAAATGCAAGCAAGGAAGCACAGTGCAGTAACCACTGATGACATTATCATCACTGACGATAACTGACCAGTAAACAATTCGTAAAATTAGTAAGTTCAAAGAAGAGAATTACTATAAGCTCCGCTTTCAAAAATAAAACAAAATAGTTGAAAACGTTTGTGTAGTAAGAAAGTAAAGTGATCGCAAAGATAAACGACTTTATACGAACTGTTTCAGAAGCATAATTCATTCCACCCAATGGCTAAAACCGACATTTCTTTCACTGTAGAGAAAGCACAAGGAAGTACTGCAGAACTTCAGTGGTGATATGTACATATCGCTCCAGTCAGTAAAAACGATGCATCAATCACCGCAAGTGCTCAAGTGGCATAGATTCGTAAGGCATTTAAACGGTTCACTGTGCAATGCAACTAGAAAAAAACAATGAACTACTGCCATGTAAATTGGCGAATAAAATTATGCGTATTATCATAGTCTCAGCATTTCTAATAAAAAATCGTACTTCGCTCTTACATGTGATGACTTATTTTGGTCGTTCCCCACTGTTCAAGACAAACAAAGGTAAAGAAATGAGTCGAATAGCAGACGGAGTTTTTCATAAGCAATTACCAGTTGTTGAATGCAAAAAGAAGAATAAAAGCTGTTTTGTTTCGTTGACATCCTCAGAAACTGATTTCCAGCGACCTCTGGAAAGGTTCGCAACCGAGAGCGACTTGGCCGGCATGCGTGTGATTGTATCTAAAACGAAAAGCGTAGTGCCTTTTCGTTCTCTCGCTGCTGCTTTTTTCAGATAAACGGAGAAGCAATGGAGCAGGTGGAAACTCAAGTACTTAGGGGTCGTGCTTTTGGTGATGGAAAATCTGAGGAAGAGGTCGGGTTGTGGATTCGAGGAGCAAATGGCATTCTGCATTAACTAGTCCGAACCACCATGACTATAGCGTAGCTGAGTCTGAGGACTAAGCTCTCAGTGTTCAAGTCGATCTTCACTCTCATGCTTATCTATAGTCTTCAGTCGTGGACAAGGCAGAAAAACTTCGACTCTGGGTACAAGCGGCTGAAATGGGCTTTCTGAGACGAGTCGCTGACCTACGCGTCTCGCCATTGTCTGAAGTACAGAAATTTACGAGAATCTTGGTGTACAGCCGCTGCTTTCTCAGATTGAAAAGTAACAGCTGCGATGATTTGGGCATGTGTTGCGAATGTCTCCAGAAAGGAAGGCGAAGCAACAACTTCTTGTCCAACCGATAGGCAGAAGACCCAGGGAACGGCCAAAAATAATCTGGTGCAAGTTTATAGGAGTCCGCTCTAGACTCCAGCTGTATTCAGACTCCGGCACAGGATCAGGAATGGTGGAAGCATTATCTGTTGTGTCTGCCACCGGGACCCGAAAGGAGAGTGGTCATGGAAGATGATAAGATAAGTTTGGAACCGCTGGACATCTTCACACTTGACTGATGGGCGCTTATGCAATTTGAATTTTTCAAGAGGTT